AACTGCAATCGCGTCGGTTTCAGTCTTTCATGAGTTTTCGCACGAGAGCAACACCTGGATTGACCGAGTGAACACATACACATACACACAAACGCGTAGTATTCTAGGTGGCCAGAAGCGAAGATGAGGTTACCTAGTAGGTCTGGTATTCCAATGCATTTTCTTCCTCCAGCCCCACCAACCGTCCCCTAGTCATGCTCACTCCGCAGCCCTTTGCGGTGAGGGCCGAAAGATATCGTTTCGTCGCGTGTCCGTTCTGAATTGGTTTCAGCATTCTCCATCCCACACCACCACTGCCCCACTACTCAGTCTTCTTGTTTGGTCAACTATTGCCATAAACTGCGACTGAGGGAGGCTCAGACTGACAGTTCTAACTCAAATGAACTTTGTTGGACAAATTCAACCCACATCTATTTATTTTCTTGCTTGATATGGTTCGCGTTCTCAAAAGCGCATGAAGTTTTGCTCCAATCTTATTACTTTCTAATTAGATACTTAGGTCAAATTGGACAAATGAAGCCACTTTTTCTTGTACTCCTGTTTTTTCCCTTCACAGCGATATTTTGACTACCATCCATAAGTATACAAAATAATAAAATCGCCCTCTCTCAGACCGGTTCTGAAAAGACGAGAATTGGTTGTGTTTGGCGAATCAAGTCCGATCGTTGGAGGAGGAAGGACGAGAAACTGTATGTGGGGGAGGGTGGGATGAGGTGGAGATGAGCAGGACTGAAAGATATCTATAGTTCTCTGGGCAACAAGTTCGACCTGATTAGAGAGTGCTCAAATGTCTGTACATCGGATAAGTGCGCCGATGGAACGGCAAGAGAACGTGTGTGTGTGTGTGTGTGTGCTAGGGGTTTACCGAGAGACAGAGAACCACCACATGTCTGAGTTTGTCCCACAGAAATCTACATTGTTTTATGACCCTTCCGAACGCATAACTTCAGTTAGGAGGGAGTGAGGGTGGGCAGGGAGAGGCGACGAAAAAGCAATTCAGCGGTGCGCATGTAAATCAAATTTCCCAGCGAAATGGTTGCAATGAGTGAGACACAAACAGGTTTTGTGTGTTCATGTGACCGAGGTGTGGTAGGTGGGTAAATAAAATTTTGCAAGAAAGATATCACATTATCATAATCAGAATATAGAAGGTAGGTGAATTTTCTTTGGAAAGTAACAATCAGTGCCTTCGGTTAGCCAAATCTTGATCTGCGAAGCAGCGGGGCGATGTGTAAAAAAAAGCAATCCATTGGGGGCCGGTTTCCAGTTTATCGGATCATACACCCTTTGGGCAAGGTAAACCTGAGCAAATTGTGTTCCTCAATAAATCACAATGCCTGACCGAGCTAGTGAAATCTGCCACAATTGGGAAGGTGTTTTTGTGGTTGGTACATCAGTTCTTAGTTGGTTTGGAATCAGGGTGTTTAGCCAGCTCCTCTAGGTGAACTACCAGTGGTTCACCGATACGGTTAAAGCTTCGGATTTCGGCTTTTTGTTCTCCTACTTTGCTTGTAGAACGCTTCTGCGACGAGAAGGTAGTGAGTAGGGCTTCCTCAGCAGAAGCTATTTGGGACGCTTGCGAGATGCAAGGGAAGGGTGACCAGTCACATCCCGAGACACCCACCCCCGAACATACTGAGGCTTTCTTTTATTGGTTAATTACCTAACCTGATATCTTTTCTGTCATTTGATTGCTGAAAGTAAAAAGACACCATTTAATAGATCATTCATTGCTTTACCCGCGCATGCACGTGACTGCTTTTCACTTGATACAGTTGACCAATCGCATTGCATCAATTTGCTTCAATCGACAGCTATTTGTAGGTTTTGTTCCATCGCAATTTTCTGTCCTATAAATTTGATCTATTTGTGCCGCGAATGAGTTATGTAATGCAATGCTTGACGGTATTTCAGACATCTGTCAACTTCTGATTAGTTCCATTTCAGAACAGTACATTTATTAAGGTCTACGTACTTGTTTGCCGATATTTACATTCAAAATTTTGAAGAATGGTCGTAGTTCACACGACATACCAGCAAAAAGGAGTCACCGCCCACTATTCCAAACGTCCTGTCTACCTTTGTATATGTTAGTGCAGTTCAAACTTATCTTAAAAGGTCTATCCAGACTGAAAAAAACAAATCAATATTAGTTATTTTTTTATTCCTTCAAACTAATCTTTGACCATAGGTAACAGAGAGGGAAAGAGGACAGTAAGAAGAAACGACAATGAAGAAATTGATTGTAGCGTAATCACCATGAGTGTTTGAGTGAAATTTCAATTGAGCTACACATGATCTTCTTTCCGTAGGTCCGTATTTTTTCTGCTCACCAACTCCGCAAAAGGACTGATAAACGAGAAATCAAACTAGAGGAAGGAGGGAGGAGACAAGAGAGATTGAAATATCTCCAGTTTTTCGATTTTTTATCTGTTGTTGTTGATCTGTGGATTGAAAATAACCAGCGCGTTTGATAGTGGCAGGCGACCGACCGACGCCGTTCAAGACAACTGGTCTGCCAGACAGGGATGAGCCTGAACATAAACAAGGGGGATGCGCAAAAGGTATGGTAGAAACTAGTGTCACTTGTATGAACAACAGCAATAACGCGGTGAAGAATATCTCGGCATTCATCATGGATTGAGCTTTCAAAGACTAATTGATGAACTGGTTGTGGTAAACAAGCCCCCGGGTAAGGAAACAATTGTGGACTTCGCAACTTGGGTCCTTTTGCCACAGAGTCAAAGGTGAAATTGGACGGAACGGTGTAGAACTGTCTATGTCGTGAGCAATCAGCTGTTTGAACGACAGACAGCCATGCATGCAACTGTAGACACATGATTGCTCGATTATCACACTCTAAATTGATTGATTTGTTAAATCCATAATAGACTATCTTAATGGTATAAATTATATAAAGGATTGACCAAATGATGAAATCATCAGCTAAATACACGTTTGACTTGTAGATTAACGTTTGGACTGGTTTATTAATTGACTGACTATGAATTTTTAGATTCATAAATTAGTCGTTTCATCTCCCGACCTATGTGATCTTTCATTCAATGAGAATCCTACTGGAACATTGAACATATTGTGAATACCATTGAACACTACGTATTCCATGACAGTTTCACAACCCACCTTCTTTAACCACTCCACATGTTCTTCTAACGTCATATCCAATATGCGGCCGCGAACAAATTCCACGGCAGACGCCATCATCGGAGAGCACAGTTCCCAAACGGTCAGTGTTCGAAGCACCCGAAGGAACTGGGTTACAGTAAACTGGCTTGCTGATAACTGCAATCAAAGAGAATGCCAGGGGAAGGATAGAAGGCTGGTTGAAACAGACGATCACTCACATGTCTTTTTTTGCTTTTCGAATTAGAAGGCCATTGACACTATTCGTCAGCGGGTGAGTAACATGACTGGTTACAGACTGTTTTTACAAAAGCAAGCAACGCTGGTGAAACGGATCGGTTATTGTGAAGAATATAAAGAATTTAAAGATTGTCTGTCTCTCAGTGAAACATACTTGAGCATAGGGAATCAGCTGCTTCAACAGGGGTGCAATTTTTTCGTCCGTTTGTATCTCGGAGAGATCGTTAATTAAATCCGAGTACCTGATAACCGAAAAAGCAAAGTAAGTGGACGGTATTTGTTTTGTTTTTGTTCTATCGGAAAGGAACCAATAATTTAATTATCTACCCAACAATCAGAAAAGCGATTCTTTGTTGCATTCGGAGTTTGCTTCACACTGCTGATAGTCTCAAATAAAGGTTACAGTGGTTTTGCCAACCTCATCTCCACCATTATGCACATGGCTTTTTCAAGAGTGGACTGCTGTTTTATTGTCCACGAACTGACTACTTATGAGTAATATAACACATTTCGTTCATTTGAAAGGATCTGATTTTCGTAGCACAGTTGGGTTGTCGCTGTCAGTCTTGGGTAGCATACCGCAAAACAGCCAATTAAACTGATTTGTAGCTATAGGTTATATTGAATAACCATAAAATAAATACCGCTCGGTAGGACGTGTATCTTTTGAAATCGTTTGTTTAAATTGACGATCAAATGACACCATAATGCCGTAAATGGCTGACCACCAACATGTATCAACTTTTTTTCTCGTATTTAACAGCTTGATCAGATAATTATAGATGAAATGGTGTGGGATAATTTTAGAAGTATGAAGAAATGTGAACTAGTGTTTTTAAGGCTGTTTTTTACAGGACAGACCAAATTAAATATGATCTGAGTTGAGTGAACTAATGAAGAGTGATAGAGTGATCAGAAAATTTTTATCATTTAAAAGCTTCTCAGAAAGCTATGCGCGAAATTATTGTAGTCTGATATTCGTGATCAGCAAAGAACATTTTTATGATATTTGAAACGAAGAATTTTTGTAATCAGTCGTGTATTTGTCCATTTCTTAGGGTGTTATGGTCTTTTTTGAACTCCACAGTTCTTCCACTTCCAATTCACCATTCTCAGATTTGTGTGCAGCAACCATCCGGATGAAGATACTTTACCCATTGAAATAATTATTGAATGTCGACACAGTGCGTTCGTCCACCTCACCTGCATTTATCGTCTTTCGGATAAAAATTGAAGAAGGTACGATCATGAAATTAGGGTCGGTCAGCACGTTTCCCCGGAAAAAACATCTGACCTTCATTCTTCGTGAATTAGCTTATAATATGATAGCGACAGCTATGCATCTTACAGGCGAATGGCTTTTGAATCATTGCATTATTGCTAGGTAGTAACCCCCTTTCTGGCTGGCCTCGATGTGTGGGCATGACAGTTCGTTGGATAAATGTTCTGTTCAACAGCAAATCATCAATAAACTTATCAATCCAAACATTTTATTCAATAAAAGTTTCTTTGCGACTGCATTAATCATTAAATCGAACACGAAACGAAATGTTGACTCAATAGGAAACTGGTCGTTCTCCCAATAACTTGTTTAAGGTAACTGTTATGAGTATTATGAATTAAAACTTGAAACATCTGGTTGTTAGCGGACACAGGATTGACTTAGAAATAGTATTCACCGTTTTTACCTCAACACCGAGGAGAACCATCAAAGGATTGTGTGAAGACGATGACAACAGTAGAACCCACAATTATAAGAGTAGGAAACTGGAGTTGTGCAATCCATGTAAATTGGTTCTAAAACAAGTAGTACCACGGTCTACCTCAATTTCTTCAAGACCGAAAGAAACTATCTGTCACGGGATGCTAACACTTCTTTTAATCTTCTTAATTGCTGATGTAAAACAATTAGGCAAATTTATAATATATTGGGTTTGTCAATCCTAGTGAACGGATATGTACAGATCGACAGGGGCTATTGAAATTAAAAACATCACTACGGAACGGTTCCCCCGAAAGATTCATTTATATCCACAGTAAACACTGTCCAAAAGGTAATCTATACCCAATCGTTCACCAGAAAGCTGTCTATGTCTCAAACCTTCATTCAAGAGAGATAACCTTCTGAAATATGAGCGTCAAAAGCTGAACCTAGTGCTGAACCGCACAGTCCTAGCTGCTCAACTTCAATCTGTGGTTTTGTCTCACATACAGCGAACCAGTTCACCTGCAGCTGGGGTGATGCATACACGGTCTGAAGCAACCGTAAGTTAGAACAACGCGCGGCCAAACACATCCCAATGCGGCTGATGAGGTCGATGGCACGACCCACGCTCAGTAATTAGGCAATCTCACGGAACCCGGGGTCATCAAATGCGAAACACATCATGACAACCAAATACACAATCAATCTTGCTTCCTCTTTCAACCCACCGTTACGTAACTGCAATAAAAAATTGTCGACTGTGGGGCTTTGTTAATCACATTACATCATCCCGCTTTGGAGGTTCAAGGGTTCTTGGCGCAATCAGCTCACTTGCCGTGGCGTTGATATATTGCTTTTAAATCTAATAGCCTCTGTCTCTCTTCACTTTTCCGATCACTAGGATTTAACATCCCAATATGCCATATATGAGCTTGTTTGTTTTTACATTAGCGATTGAGCAGGAAATGTTAGCATCGTGCGACAGGTATCTTCCTTCAGTTTTAATGAAGTGGATATAGAGAACCCAGTGATTAAAATATCTCAATTTTCCTGTAAACTCCTCTCTTTATAATTGGCTTAACTCATCAATTGTTTTGCTATATATCCATACTTATTTTATTTAATTTCGGTTTTCATTTTTTATTGAGTTTATTCCAAACACTCTTCACGTAGTTTTCCTATTCATTTCGTATGATCTCGCCGTTTGTCAAAACAATTAAAAATATCCAAAAGTTTGATAAATAATTAAAACATTTACGCAAACAACTAATGCAATAAATAAAAAGAAATTATTTTGCGTTTACAGCTTATTTCCATTATGTGCTGAAAACCACGCCCGCTTGGAAAAATTTCTGTTAATACAAACTACTCATGAGTAGACACAGTAGAAATGCATTGGACGGTTATGGGTCGAGTCATTCTGTAGAGTTTGATTTCGAATGCACACGACAATGCATGTGCTAGCGAAAATAAAGCCGAAGATTCTATAGGAAATATTTACTACCGGTACATATAATATAACTGGATGTGATGCTAATGCGCTCATTAATAGACTGAGGTTACCTTTCCCGACTTTATGCGATTATATTCTATGGTCTATAGATTTTGGTTTCAAACAGAATATCATTAGCAAGCAGAATTGTCTTGCATAACGTTTACAGTGTAAAATGTCTACTGCTTTTGAGACAAAGAATGTGAGATCAATGGTTAGCAAATAAGTTTGTTTTCGGTGCTACATTATCTGGTCTTATCATGGCCATCCACTTACAACCTAGTAACGTAACCTCCGTTCGTAGAGTTTCATTAATTAATTATCATCATCTTCCTTTCAGATACACAAACACCACGTATACCAACTATCACAATTACATCATGTCATTCAAAACTCTGCTGGCTTTAAAAAAATACTGCTGCTGCTGTCTGCTCTCAACATATGATTTTCTTATTGTCAACTATGTTGCAATTATTCAGGTCATGTAGCACCACAAAGCACGCTGGTTTGCTTACCTCTGTTCTCATGATCAAACAATCGAGAATATTTTTCGCATCTCATAGAGGATGTTGGCTGGGATTGATAGCTGAGTAGTATAATCATGTTTTAAGTGACCCTGTGGTCCGAGCCGAAATAAAAAAATTGGTTTTGAAGGGTAAACAAACTCATCCGCTGTGAATCTCAGACCAAAATCGTGTAATCAAAATTCGATTTCATTTAATCTCATTTTTCTATTTAGGTAAGTTGAAAACCAGTGGGGGAAATTATCGGACCATGAAGTCGCACAAATGGTTATTGTATCCTAACGGTTTATTCTGTCCCGGGGTGGGTGGGTAGTCGGCGGGAGGACATACCAAGCAGCCAACTGTTTTCGTTCCGCATACTGATAGGCCAGTTCATGTACGGCTCGATTGTAGCTGGCTTCCTGATGCAACCGTTGAAGGGCTTGGTGACTGGGTGCTTGCGTCGCGATGGATCGATATTTACCCAGACAGATACGTGGCCGCAGTCTACGGAAACCAAAACACCGAAATACCAATAAGGAAGAGAAACCACGGAGAGGCGAATTATCGATTTTTGAAAATGATATTGAAAACAATTACACATGTAAAGCGGTTCAGTTAGTACAAATAGAAAGTTATCTCGAGAAATGTACGTGTTCAGCCTAATGACACAAAAGATATGGGTCATGGATGATTAAGTCATTGAGCAGCATTCAAGAAGGAATGCTGAAATATTGTAGAAAAATCAGAATCGGTGTAAACAAATTATTTCCATCAAACTGAAGCACCGTCATCATTTATTGCAATCACTTTCCCTACTGATATAAAAGAAAATTGAACATTTCAAGCGGAAATAAAAGAAGTAGTGAAAAATATCTTAGGATTAAAAAATGAAATTTTGTGGTAAGGAAAGCACAGAAAATGCCTATGAAAAGATAAAAACACCCTACACCACCTGTCGGAAATCATCAGAGACGTGAATAAATTGACCCCACAGAAGAATCGAATCCGTAAGGTGCTAGGTAGCTGATAAGACTGTTTCACTTAGCACATATCTGATTTAGAAAATACGATTTTTGCACGCCAGGAACCATCTTTCTTTGGTTACGACTCGGTGGAAAATATTCCAAAAATGACTGCTACATTCAACAAAACCGGGGAGGATTAAATCGGACGATAGAGAGAGGAATATCAAGAAGGTGTTGCATTGGGCTCCCAGGGGTCCAATGCGTAGTGATACTAGTAGGTATCCCTGTGTTCGACCGGACAGAGTTGTATATTGTTCTTACCGGATTGGGATAGATCATTATTAATTAATTGTGGAATAGAATAACAACTCATAAGATATTGGTAGTATTCAACTGAACGGCAACATGAAGGCCTATCACAAAAGTACAATCTTACTGGTGGTTGGGTTTGAATCCAAGACTAACCGATCGCTATCAATAATCAGCCTGAAATTGGCTCACAAAGGAGGAATAGCATCATCGTACCCATGCCAACCAGAGAGTTGTTCCATTGTTGTTTATGTCAAGGTCAACGATTGTGTAAACAGGATAAATATATATATATATATATATGGCAGTTGAGCATTCCGAAATTCCTTGTACAGTATCGAAGTGAACCTTCAAACAAGCTCCCCACAACATGCTCAAATAACGAAGTGATTTATAGTAGCAAATAAACTCCTCCTCAAACCAGAAAGGAACGTCAAACAGAAGAGTTCAGACAAAGAACTTCTAGAGCTGAAAGTTAATTAGAACATTATTATTTAAAATCAAAGACAGCGTACAACACATTGTGGTTTGATGTCACTCCTACGAAACATGCCCTCCATTCTGTTTTAAAACAATCATTGACTTGTCGTTTTGTTTGACCTTATGATTGATTCACAATGATAACAGTAAATCACCCTTAGGCTGGCTCCAACAAAAATGACCAGTTCTACCTGATAGAAAACGAAAGACAATGGATACGAAATGGTCGATGATATACTTCAAGCGGGTTGGGGGCTGGAGTGAATAAGAACGCGATTGCTCACACTTTCTTTACGAGGCATTGTGTGAAGTAAATCAATCAGTTGCTTGATAAAAAGAAAGAAAAATTGAAAGAGGATTGTTTGACTGTTTCCTAAGGCGCACATACTGTCTTTGTTAGTCGACTTCTTTCATTCATACTGAGAGTATCCGAGATAAATCGGGCAATCGATTTGTTCAATTACCAGACAGTTTTCAGCATGTGCTAATCCATCATTTGTTCGTAATCACGGGTTTTTGTTTCTGCTTTTCATCACTGAATAAGTGCGGACGATTATATCTAGTCAAACCTGAGAAGCTCTGAAAAATATCTCTGAACGAACATACTTTCTGTGATCGATAATAGTTGTCGTAATAATAGTAATGATGATATTTGACATGATCATCACTCTTACAGTTGTTTTATTACATAAATTTATGTGATGAATAGCAAAAGGTGAGGAACGACCCCACGGTAGGGAAGAATTACTAACGAGTAAAAGATATCAACCTTGATCAATGCCTGCCACAAATGATAACTTGTATAGTTTCTGACCCATTATGCTAAACCATAGTATTATATATATGATGGGTTCTCCATTCGGAATGTTTCGAAGCGATATTTAAGAAAAAAGAAACAGTTGGAATACAAAAGGAGGAGACAAAAGGGCAAGGGAGTGTGCGAGACACAGGGAATCGTCAGATGTTATGTCGGCGTGATGCATTTGTGCAACACCCTTGAGAGAAAGGATAAGGGTTTGTGGGTCCCAACTTGGAGGGTCACGGTTCGAGTCCCGACATGGACGCACTGTTGTCCAGTCCCAGTGAGGACAAAACAGCTGTGGAGTGCTCATTGTCGGTCAATAATTTCCATCACATGTAAAACTCTGTTGCCAATGTTTGGTGATATGTGGTGCTTCCCTTGGTGACATATACACTGTGAGTAATAATCACTCGCATCAAAAGGTTTTCTTTTATGAAATGTTAAAACTGCTCGCTACATAGTATCTGTATTAGCTCGATATAGGTAAGCTAAACTGATGCCTGGCTGAAACCAGTTGGTTCTGATGGCTTATAAACTTGGCATTGAGTGCAAATACAAGTTCGTATGCGTTGTTCCCGATCAGATCTATCCTGCTGACTTTATCACCAGGGAGAAGGAAACTGCCGTCGCAAAACTGCCAATTTAAACCCCTTAAACTGTCCCATGAGGGTTGCAGTTTCACTTTTAATTTGATGTTTCAATTAATTCCGAATGTTTACGGATGACTACGTCATTTTGAATTAGAATGATTACCTTATCCTTACCAAACCTATTTGAGACTGTGACGGGCTCTGTCGAATCCGTTTACTTTAGATCTTGAATACATCGGTGTTGGGTAAGAGACGGGAGGGGTGTGTGATGGACACTCAAAAAACTGCATCTATTTCGTTCAAATCTTTTCTACAAATAACAATCCAACTCCAGCCTTTTGATTAAACAGGATTTTATTTTACCCTGGTTAAACATTTCAAGCTCCATTATTAGGTATTCAACCAACAGAAGTAAGTACGTGGATACTATCATAGATATTTTGCGTCTGATGCGGGGCTACACCACATGGCATCCCGTAAATAAGGTCAGAAATAGTAGGCTTTGAGTAGAAGAGATCTGATGATAGTCGGAGTGTCGCACGATGAATACCTATATAGATAGATTTAGTCAGTATCAGCAATCACATTGTTTCACCTGATTTCCTTTTGCCTATACAAAAC